ACCATCATACTTTTCTAATCGCTGCCCCTGTTAAGAAGATTTTTATCAATATTTCGTTACGACAGTTAGGATTTCAAACAATTTTGCAGATGGATTTCATAGCCCAAAAGTTTATGATATTTCTACATTCTCGTTTAATATCTCTAATTTCGCAATTCTGCAAAAGCAGTTTATTGACAAATGTTTAAAATATTACATTCTGAATTTAGAACTGGCTTTTATAATGCTTATTTTCAAGTAAAACAGAATTGTTTTATTGGTAAAAGTTTATACTATTGGTTATGAATTATTAAATTCTCATTAAAATTTCTAAAGCTTTACTTTTCAGATAAACTGTATAAATGTATTTTTTAACTTGTAATATTATATTATATTACTATAATTGTTACTGTCGTTGAGCAGCAGACCCAATTTTTGGGTTTTCGACTACTAATGTTCAACTCCGTAGCCTTGTAATTTTGAACCCAATTTAGAAGGGAACTCCTGGATCAAGTATTGGGGGAAATTTGCCTTCGTGGAGGACTTTTTGATGGAACTTACCAACATTTGCGTTACACGGAGAGGAAGACCACGAGAACCTCCCACTGTTAGCCTGAAGGCAAGGGGACTTCTACCCATGATCCGTCTACCACTGAGGATATTTCAAGTCAGTATTGTCGCCTGTGCAGGCCGGATGTGGAATTCGTATCGACCAGCCATAGCCGGGATCGAACCCTGGTTCACCTCAATGGAAAGCGAACGCTCTATCCCCTGAGCCATCACGGCTCTAACCTGTAATATTGTAAAATTAAATATATATTAAACAAAGTGCAGAGATATTAGTTAGATTCAAAATTTTGTAATATTGGTAGGGCAATGCGTTTTTAGCATTGCCTTTTCGAATCTCAAATTTTAAGAAAATTATATAGATGCATTTAATATAGAAATTTGTATTATTCATGTGTTGCGGATTTATAATTGATTTCGTTTTCTCAGAATAACTTAATATACGTTTTTTGACAGTAAATAATTTATACATAATTTTTCTGAATTTATAACTTGTTTTTCTAAACTTCGAATTTTTTAATCTCAGGTCTTATATTGCACGGTACTTCCGGATCATGTAAAAACTCCTGCCAAGCACGTAAAACTTACTCAGAAATATTATTAAATTGTGGACAGGTGCCTCTCAAATTTTGACGGAAATCGTCAAGTTTGAAAAAGTATCAATGAGGGAGAAAAAAAGATAAAAGATTATGCTCGTTAAATCTGAAATATCTTTGAAATAATTATATAAATAAGAATTTATGAGATTAAGTAAGCCTATTCTTTTTATTCCTCTACTCAGGGTAATTTTTATAAAAATAAGTCGAAATATACGGGGGAGGGGGAGCAAGATTTGCCCAAATACACCTATTCTATTTCACAAGAGTATTACACACTAGCCAGTTAATTATGCGTATAAATTAATGACGTAACGCCTGATCCGTTCTACTTTTACTGGGGTAAAAGCTGGATTGGTAAGAAAGAATAATCGCAAAATATTGATTTTAAATTCTCATTTTTCTAACTGTTGTATTATTAATACATGTTTTATAGCTCTTAAAGAGATAAATAAGTAGTCTCAAATTGTAGTAGGATTAATACTTTAGAAAAAAGATAGTTCTAAACTATGAAAAGAGAAAACTGAAACGTTTTTGATTATACGGGGCACTACTGTGAATGCAGTTTTCAAAAATGTTTTTCAATATTTCGGAAGCCTTTTGTGGGGCTAGGCTACCAACCATATCAAGAGCCATCGATCAAAAGGTATCTAAAGAAAGAATGGAGAGTTAACATGTCTTACATACTAGTGAATTGGAATTAAATAGTTTTATCGGTAGCTACGCTGCATTACTCCCCACCAGAATTTTATTTGTGATGGAATTCAATGAATGGATGCAACTAGTTGATTCCTTGCTGTTTTACGAGATGCCGGGAGAGCTGCATTATGATCACGGTTGTGGGCGTGGTCGCTCCTGTGTTCCAATTATCAGCTGACTGTGTACAGGCCTCCGTTGCGTGTGACCGAGACTTAGTAGCAACAGCGTAAGGAGGACAATGTCTCAGTCACAAATAGCATGTCAACTGTTCACTCTGAACCATCCATTCAACTTGGTGCATTTAAATCAAAGTGGGCGTTTCAGTCAAAGTAGGCGTGTTCAGATCACGCCCGCGAATCACTCATGTAGGGCTAGGCTACCGACAATATTAACCGTCATTTATCTAAATGTACCTCCAGATAGAATTAACATATCCCTCATACTAGTGAATTGAAATGTAAAAGTTTTAGTGCTAGCAACGCTATACTCTGAAACTTAATAGGTGTCAATGAAACTTAATCGATGTTAATAAGCGTTGTCAGTTTCCTACTTTTGAAAATAAAAGAAATGTTTCTCAATTGATCAGAAACACGATATTAAAGGAAGTTCTCTGAAATTTTTATCGAGTCAAAATAAGTGTTTTTTTATGAATACAGTGTGTCTACCGTTATATATTAATAATATAAATATTCATATTTGCATCTGATATCAAAGCACAATGATTATTTAAAGCTAAAGTGGTCGGTAACAGAAAGTATATCAACTTGGTATAAACAAAGATATACCACCAGGCGAGACGGACCAAAGCGAGACGGAAAAGAGAAAATACTGGTAGGAGAAGTATTTGAATATGAGAGAAATTATATTCGTACATACACGGGCTTCTGTGCTCTGTTCAAAGAACAGTTTAAAAACCCAGGATACGACACATAAATACAGATAGCACAAATTAGAGAGAGTGAGAGAGAGACAGCACGAGTCATGGTTAACTGTGTTATTCAGTTATTCAAACCCGTTACTTCCTCACTTCCGATTGTTAGGTCACTGATATCGTCTGCACCCATATTATAATCGCAGGCAGGCAATTCAATCACGAAATAAATCTATGGTCTGCCGGTATTATACATATCCCACAGCCGGTATTATACATATCCCACAACTACGACGGAATTTTTGCAGATTCAGAAAATGCTTTTCCTAGCAAAGACAATGCATAAATATTTTAATAAATTAGAATTATTGTGTAAATATTATGTGACCACTATTATGTAAATAATTTAAGTAATTTAATAATTATGTAAATGATTTAAAGTAGACACTTTAAATTAATTTAGCCATTACTACAATAATTGTTTGAGTATTTAATTATTTTCTTACGTTTCTGTGAAATACTTTTGTAACAAAATGCTATTTTCCTACTCGTGAAATTTAGGATTGCTCAAAAAATTTAAAGTGCACAACGCCAAACGTTTTACCCATAAATATATTATATAAGAAGCATTACAGTACATTATATAATGCCCTAAAATTCAATGAAAAAAGTTATGAAAGTTATATGAAGTTATTATTTTGTTAAACTGAAATATACAATGCATAAGTAGTGAATATTCAGTGGATATAAAATAAATATCATTATAATTTGTAATCAGCTGTTTTAAAAGATATTGCTGTAAAAGCTTCTTTTGAGAAGTACCTATTTGCATATGATGTCTAAAAATTACTTGAATTGTAATTCGAAGTGTTAATACTCTAGTGCAGTGTTTCTTAACCTTTTTGGTACAATGGACCCCTTTTAAAATTTTGTAAGAAGTCACGGACCACCCCCCTGTGAAAAAAATAAGTGCGAAAAACATCAATTATTAGAAGGGAATAAAGGGCATCCATAATGGTGATATCAGGCCCTTGAATTAAAAGACTTATGTTGTTCATGTGGTTAAAAATATCTGCCAGGTAAGCCAATTTATATGTAAATCTTTTTTTTTAAATATTCGAAGAGTGGGTTATCTTTTTCTTCTAGAAAAAGTGATACTTCTGTCTTCAACATGAAAATTTGTTTAAAAATCTGCTCTCATGACAGTTAGCGCATTTCCGTGTGGTACAGAAGTACCTCATGTTCTGCGTCCATTTCTTGACATAATGGTTTAAAAAGACGACGATTAGGAGCTGTACTTCAAATAAAATTCACAGTGTTAATTACTATTGATAATACTTCTTTTAAGCTGGTTGAAAGAGTTTTTGTAGCCAGTGCATGCCTATGTAAAAAAAAATGAGCATACCTGCCAACTTTTACGCATTTGGCTTAAAATTTTATTTCTATATTTAAAGTGGTAGTAAAATATATGCTTACTATGTATTCTTTGCATTTTTAAACTTAATTTTTAATATTTTTAATCCACCACTATTTTTAAAAAAATTATGCATATACTAGCGGACCCGACAGACGATGTCCTGTACACACGTCTTTAATTGGAAAATTTCAAATTTTTTTGAATAAGCTGTAACAATCTGGATTGTTTTGGTGCAAATTTTTATTAAAAGGTTACCATATTATCTAACGTCATTACATATACCTTATCACAATTCGACCAATTGATAGCGTGTGAGTATGTGTATACTATCAGCGAAGTTAAATGTAGAGGTTGCTTTAAATCAAAACTTAAACTTATTTTAATTAAAGGTAAAAAAGTGAAAACTTAAACTATTTTATAACAGATATATTTTTTCAATTAAAAAAAACTTAAGTTATCGTAATGCCATTAGGTGTACAATATTTTAGGTTAATCCTTCAGGAGCATACACAAACAAATTCGAGGGTTTTCCAATTCTGGAACACGCAACATATAATTGACCGTGAGAAAAGCACGGGTTTTCTAAATCTAAGCCACAAATTGTCATTGTTTGACCTTGTGACTTATTAATAGTCATAGCAAATGCTAAGCGGATTGGAAATTGCAAACGTTTGAATGGTATAGGCGAATCTGAAGGAATCATTGAGATCCCCGGTAGAAGTACAACTTCACCTTGAAATTTTCCACTTAAAATAGTGGCTTCCGAAATGTTACCCATGATTTTTTTATGACCAGTCACGTGCCATTACACAATTTCGGAGCATTCAAATTTCTAAGCAAAATTATAGGTGAACCGATCCTCAATCACAAATTAATGGGGTGGCATTCCAGGTAAATCCAGTGAATTTAAAAACTCGGCAGGATAGTTGACAACTTCATCAGGATCAACAACAGTGTCAATCGATTTGAATGCAATTTCACTACCAGTCAATGATTGTTGTACTTTAAAATTGATTGCGTCAACATCTAAATTTTTTGCGGCTAAAATAGCTCGCTCATGTAGCCATGCATGATTAGTATAATTATGTGGCAAATATGGAAAGATACTTTTTATTAACTCCTCTTTGGTAGGCACCATGTTGCAAAAATTCTGTGGGAGTCGAATATATTGTGTATCTTCATACAATTGAATTTTACCATAGCCAATGTCTAACAGTTGTTCAGAGAATCTTGACGCTAATGGATCATTTTGAAGTTGAACACGCATATTGAGAGTAAGGCATAATTTACTGACACTTCGCAAAAGATAAGATTCTTTCAAACATGCGTTTATTTCGTCCGCATATGTCGCACGTGGAATGACGGGTAATATTTGTCTGAAATCACCTGACAGCAGCAGTAGAGCACCACCAAAAAGCTGAGCATTATCTTTGATATCTTTTAGGGACCTGTCGAGAGCTTCAAGCGAATGCTTGTGGGCCATTGTACATTCATCCCAGATAATAATTTTACATTTTCTCAAAACTTCAGCCATGCCTGAATGCTTCTTTATGTTACACATTGCTTCGGGATTGGTATGAATATTCAAAGGTAATTTAAGTGCTGAATGCGCTGTCCGCCCACCATCAAGTAAGGTTGCTGCAATGCCTGATGAAGCAATTGCCAATGCAATATGATTTTGAGATCGAATGCGCGCAAGTATTAGTGAGATGAGGAATGTTTTACCAGTGCGACATGGTGCGTCCAGAAAAAAAATCCACCTTGTTGTGCTGCAATTGACACGTTAATTTGATCATATATATTTCGTTGCTCAGCAGTAGCAATCGTTCATTGTTAGCAACAAAAGTAGCCAGAAGTCATATCGAACTGGTGTTCACGTTGAACGTCGCTGTTGATGATATCTGCTGCTTGGCGGATTGGCGCTGGAATGCCAAAATTTATGAGCGGCATGTTTGAAATAAGAATACAAATATCCTCAATCATTATTAATGCCTCGTTATATATTTTTGCGGAGAATTCAATACTGAGATTTTGATTAGTAATTCTAATCCGATGCAAAACATCCTCACTCATTGAGTCTTTATATTTATACAGAGCAGATGCTTCAGACGGAAAACACGTTGTCAATATTATTGAAAATAATTGACGAATTTGTTGTGGAGATGAGCTCAGTGCTGCATCTGCAAGTGTGAGGTCCCAATGGTTATCATCCTCCAATAAATGTAACTCCCGACACGCATCAAAGAAAGTGCCGTATAAATTACCGTTGACTTTTCGCAAGTATTGGAAGGATGTCGGTCCAGGAACGTTAACTAATAACAAGCGCAGAAAAAGCATTCGCGTTGCTTAGGATGAACTGTATATATTCGTCCTAAAGTATTTGTCATAACTATGTCCCCAAATCCTGGGACTGGAGTGCCTCGTTTCCGTGGTTCCCAACTTTTTGATTGTTTATTCCATGTAAAAAATGTAGGAACATCAGTATACATTAATGTCTTTGCAAGTTCACCAACAATATCTTGTAGATTACAAAGGTTGAAAAATTCAGTAAGAGTTGTTTTCGGAGCTGTTAAAACTTGTTGTAGTGCATTCTGTTCAGTGAAATAAACACGCTGTCCATTTTCAAGATGCACAGTCAAATGTACAACAGCAGGATCCCTTTCATGTACAGGAAATGTAAAAATTCGCCAAATAGCTTCATTACTACTTATGTATCGTCCCATTTGATAATGTGTCATTTCGTCATTCTTATTTACATTTTAAACAGCAAATATAGCTTTATCACTGCCGTTATGAACGTACTTACAAATGTACTTGATAGACTTCACCGAACTGCATAATTCAACGTTTATGTGTACTTTATAGGTTTTGCACAGCAATGGTGAGTATGGAACCACCCAGCGATTATCGATGTCAACTCTTACACCGTTTGATAGACGCTATTCATATGATTGACCGCCATTGTCTACATCTCTACGACGGTAAGATGGATAACCATCGATATTGGTGATAGTGTCAGTTTGACATGGTTCAGGAAAACGTTTCGTATATTTTCCATTATCAATACATGGTGACATCATTTTGAGAGAACCACATGAATCATGGATCATATTAGTAGTCACAATGTCAAACAATTCTTGATCAACATTCGGATTTGGAATTTCCGCTGAAATAATTTTGTCAATTTCTTCTAGGCGTACTTTGTCCACCAACCAAATCAAAATATGCGCATGAGGTAAACCTCGTTTTTGCCATTCAACAGAATAAAGCCAACATCGTGTTTCACGAAATACCGAGTGATGTGTAATCAACTTCATCAGAGATTTCAATTTCTGTTTGAACACACGTGCAATGATATCATGGCGATGCATCGATGTTTGACCTGATAACAGCAAATTTTCAATTTCATCCCAGTTTGGATTACACGTAAATGTGATAAAAAGATCTGGTCGGCCGTATGCGCGTTCGTAAGTCATGGCGTCTTGAATATATTCTTGCATATGACGCGGACTACCAATGTATGATGATGGAAGAATATATGCGGTACCGATGTTGTTGATATCATTCGCTGCATCTACGTTACCGATTATGGCGTCACGCAAATGAATGTACTCCTCAGAACGAAGTTTTGCTTGATTAAATTTTATATAACGCAATCTCTCACTTTCGATTTTTACATACATATCAACAATGTACTGATGAAATAGCAGTCTGCATCGGAGAATGTTATTGTCTTCATTTTCACGAATCATCAACCGGTATGCGTAGAATTTCATCGCACTAACTTTCTTGATTAGTTCTTCACCTGTAAATAAAACTATTTATAAGATAAACAGAAATAATTGGTTAAAAAAAATTATAAAATAATCTATAAGTTGTGCCTGTTGTTGGTTTCCTTTGTCTAATATTTAAATGATATCCCTCTTCTCCTTCCCAAAATATCAACGGATATTGCAGTGCGTCGTAAGAACGATGATTGTCTTGAATTATTTGTATTGTATTATCTCTGCGTTGTATGCGAATATCTCGACGTTCACATGGGTCACCAGCCATAACAACTGCAACTTCATTAACAGTTGGAACATTATATGTGCCTGCGTGCTCTCCATAGGGCACTTTGTCTGCTTTAATAACAATGGCGTAGTTGTCGTTTTGCAGTCTGTTGGAAAGAGTCTTGAACAATCGTATCAATTGTTTATGGTTTTGCAAGAACGTTTCCAAAATGTCCACAATTTCTCGTTCCTCCATCTGCTCTATATGGTTGTATACGCATCGTGTATGAGTTTGTTGCTCCTCATCGCCCATAAAGTAAATTTGTAAGAATTTTGGATCGACATTAGGCATTGGAAGCAATGAACCAATTTGGTGGTACACTTGACCTTGAATCTTAAATGTAGATTCAAAATTACGACCATCCTCATTATGAGAAATTTTTGCTGCTCCAAATGATGTCATTTGAAAGCAAGAATTGAATTTACGAATTTTCCGCAAAAACAATTTCGATTGAGATGCGGTTCCAGCTAATAATGTTTTCAAAGGTTCCGGTGGTGGATTAAACGGTGGAAGTGAAATTTTTCCAGATGCGCAACATAAACCAGCTGATTCACCTTTGTACTTTAATGCATGACAATACTGACACTCGTTGTCCATACTACCGATTAAGATTAATGCATGTGACGAATAGTCTATTTCAGGGTCATATTCAAACGCAAGACGATTAAGTGATGCTCGTATCAATGCTCGATTATCTTGCATTCGCCGTTGGTTACGTTCTCTGTTTTCGTTACTCGCTCGTTGGCGTGTCTCTCGTTGTCTTGATGCACTTGCACGAAGACGTTGATTGCGTTGATGACTTGATTTCTTGAATTAACATTATCTGTCAAGTGTTCTTCAACTGTTCTATTCAATCCACGATCATGAACCAATTGTGCGTTTCGAGTACGTCGACCAATATTTCTTGCTCTTCCACGAAGACGTGGCATTTCTTTGTAAAACAAAATACTGTAAAATAGTACATGAAAAATATGAGTAATTTATTGAAAATGATATTTTAATTAAGTAGCAGGACTAAAAAGATTTATTGTACCAAATTTTAGAGAAAAAAATGTGTAATTTTAATTTTTTGCTTTTTTTATTTAATATTTCAAATAAGAAATTTTAAATAAAAACAATTGAAAAAGTTTTATATGAAATCAATTAGCTTCACAAATAAATTTATAGGTTAGAGTGGTTGTTAACCAACGCACGTATAAATTCGATCCAAAATTATACAAAATACTCACTTCAATTCCGCACTGAATCTACAAAATGTGTAGTTTTTTACATTTTTAAAATACACACTTCAAAACTCTTCAAACACAATAATAACACGAAATTACAAATTCTATTCAACGACTCTTTTTCCTGCTCCCTATTAAATTATATGTGTATCAAAACAAACTTAAATAAATATTTACAGAAAAACAAAAGTTTTATGACTTTTATTATTTTTATGCTAGTGAGAACCAAAACAATATGGAAATGAATGAGGGAGAACTGGATCCTACCACGTGATTTCGCGGCCAATAAAAATGTAGCGTTAAACGTTTAACTCTTTCTTGTTGGAAGTCGCATAAGAAGTATAACTTTTAAGAAGTAGAATAATTCTCACTCAATAAAAAATTAATTAAAAAACTATCGAAATTGGACCGAATTGTGAATCTAAACCATTCTCGAATCCTTCTGAAGGTACACAAAAAATTTCATTTAAATCGGTCCAGCAGTTTAGTAGGAGTTCAGTGACAAACACACGCACAGAAGAAATTATATTAATATGTAATACTATTGTTGTGATCCACGTAAGCTTGTTCAAAATACAGTGAATGTTACTGCCTAAAATTGCATTTCAAATTTAAATTTACTAACACTGTGGAAAATCATCCTTGAAGGGATTAAAAGTTGGCAGGTATGAATGAGTAACAAGATCATTAGGAGACTCCTTTTTTACCAACAGATCAAAATCAGATTTATTGCCAAGCATCGCAGGTGCTGCATCTGTACAAAGTGAATGAAGTTTTTCCTTCCAGTGGAAGTCGTGTTTAGTAAAGAAAACATTTAACATTACTAAAACATCAACTGCCTCTGTAGTTTGCAAAGGAGACTCACAAAATAAGAATTCCTCTTTGATAGTATCAAGAGATAAATAACGAACAAAAACAAAAAGTTGACTACAATTCAAGATGTGTGTAGACAATTCAAGATCCAGTTGCATACTAAGGAAAAATGACGATGCTTTCAATTCAACGATGATCTGTTTCAAGATATTGCAAGAAATTTCGACTATTCTTGAATGTATCACATCATTTGACAATGGAATAGCCTCAAGTTTTTTTGTCTGTTCCAGTTCACAAACTAATTCAACAATTTCCAGCGCACTTGGCTTAATTAACGTCTTTCCAATAGTATGCGGTTTCTTGCTTTTGGCAATACGATATTCAACTGTGAGAGATGCCTCAACCAGAGGTTTTCGTGGAATACCAAATCCAAGATTAGTTAATGCTCCAGATTTCAGAAACTGGGCTTTCTTCTTAGCAAAAAATTTTAAATCTAGTAACCTGGACAAGGTGTCAAATGTACCTAGCTTGATAGGGGATTATAAAAATAGCACAGCAGACGTCATCAGGGGGCTGCCCCTGATGGTTCAAACTGAAAACCGGTTAGTGGAGGATGATAAAAATATGACAGGGATATTAGAGGGCTGTGTGCAGTCCGCACTGAATTTGGGGTATCTCAATCACCTAGTTTCAAATGTGTATGAATTTTCACCTTTTAGCAAAGAAAAAAAAATCTACGTTATTTAAATATTATTAATCCAAACGTTTTAAAAATTAGGGGTAGTCGACGGACCCCCAAAATATGACCGAGGGCCCCTTAAGGAGTCCATGAACCACAGGTTAAGAAGCCCTGCTCTAGTGCATTTATTTTTGTCTGCAATCTTGTGCAAACATGTTTTATTTCATACATCATTATCTTGAAATCATTGTGGAGAAAACGAAAATGTGATATTTTTGAGCTACCTAAATATTATTCCATACCTGCCAACTTTCAATCCCTTCCATTATCATTTTTCCCAGTGGTATTAAAATGGAATTAAAGCTTCAATTTTAAGCAAACAAGTACACTGTATTTGAGAAAACTTAAGTTGACAACCATGATAGTAATGCATATTAATATATGTGCTTAATTTTTGTAAGAATAGTGGTGATCAAAATCATTTAAAAATTAGGTTTATAAAAGAAAAAAATAGTATATATTTACTACCACTTTAAATATGAAAATAAAATCTTCCGGAAAATCCGGAAGAGTTGGCAGGTATGTTATTCTGAAAACCAATTTTGACATGAAACTTTCTCTTTGTTTCTAACTTTCCTTCTGTTATCTTAATTTTGCTTTCTGTTTTTACAATGAAAGATCATTAATTAAAAGCTTTTTGTGAATTATTTCTAAATTCGTAGTAAGTTAACAAAAAATAAAGTTTTTTGTTTAAAAAAAATAGGGAACTTTTAATTGGTCGCTAGAACAATAATATTTTTTAAATAGCGTTTTTGCGATTTTGGAAAAAAGTGGGAGAAAGAAAGGCAGCAAATGTCAAATATCTTATTAATAAATAAAAAGAGCAGATTGTAATTTTATGAATAAATTTAAACGAATGTATTACACTGGGGAGCAATTTTTTTGTCACATTTATGCAAATAATTGATTTTGTTTAATTTAGGTTTGGGGATTTCAAATTTGAAATTAGTTTGCTCCTATAGCTACAGATTTTTCTAAGTGACATTTGTACTAAATTTTTTTTGTCAAAAATGTATAAGCTAAAAAAAATTATACAAAACAGGGGGGCACATAAATGTTCTGACTAACTTTTAAGCGTGTTAGGGCACATCATCAAGATTAAAACTGCACAAGAAACCATTCTCAGAAATGCCATCGTAGGCACCTAGGGACGTTTTTCTAATATGAACTGTTCAGAAGAATCGCTACATTAATGCGACCCCTTGTTTTATGTAATGTTTTTAAACTTGCAAATTTTGACAAAAATAAAAAGACTGTAGATCGGGAGAGAAACCAATTGCAGATTTGAAGACAGCCATTCGGAAGTATCTAAGATCTGTTTAAAAAGTATCTCATGAAACATAAAACAAAAAAAAAAAATTGTTTCTAAGTGTTATTCACAAACTTCTGTTGAAAGTAAAAAAGAAATCGAAATTTTTAAAAAGATACATAGATAAAAGCATATATCTATATATATATAGTAAAATAATTTTAATGAAAATGGGTAAATGTCGTACACTATCCGGCACTTTCCTAAATACTGTTTTTTACGCATTTTTAGAAGATACTGTACAATAACAGTTTTGAAAATGTTAGGGCATTCAAAAGGAATAAAAAGTTAAATAAGACTAAGGGGTAGCAAATCACATAGGCTATGGATACGGAGCCGTGCCTAGACTAGGTGGTAAATTAGAAGCAGAATAAGCAAAAGTCGTTTTCAATCATTTTATTAATCTTGTATTTCCACAGATCTAACACATTTATGACCAATACTGCAATAGGAGTATCAATAGGACTGTTACCAATTTTGAAATTACGCATTAAATTAACACCTTTTGAAATATATCCTCTTGCTGCTTCTGATATCATTTTGATCCCATGCTATTTTGTAATTGTTTATTCTTTGCCCTTTATATTTTGGCCACGTCATTCTGAAGTGCACTGTTTATTGTTTATCATTCACTTAAATTCAGAGATTTCAGCAATTTGAGAAAAAATATGATTAGACAATTCAATAATAAATTCAAACAAAATCGGAAAAAACACTACCTTTTAAATATTGATCATGCAGAAAAAATGAGCAATTCCTAAATTTTATGTATCTCAAGCTTTTCAAGCTTAAAAAATAATGTTTATTTGAATAACAAAGTCATTTTGAGTGAAGTTTTCCCTGAAATATTTCAGAGAATTAGATATTTATAAAAAAAAATGAGCCCTTTTTAAAAGAATTTCCATTAATTTTTCCATTCATTTCATCTGGATATAAGCCAGTATCAAAACGAGGTGAGTTCGAGGTTGGCAGTCACCCAGTTTTTAAAAGGATTCAGAGTTTTTAAACTTTACTTTTTTCCTTATCATGTCCCATCTGGTAACAATCCGTCTTTGAAACTGCTTAAATTGAAATTAAGGTAAATTAAATAAATTAATAACAAAATAGGTCTAATGCAGAGTGTTCTAAATTTGACTTACAGTTTCGTTGTTGTTGTTGTCGGTCATTAAGTCAGAGAAAGTGAGATTGTTCTTGTTTTCCTGTGGCACCCTCTATGGCCAAGAATTAAACTTCTGTCTCACCCGTTTATAGGATGGACCCATTCATACATCCATTCATTCATCCATTGATCTTGGTTTTGACCTGAACCAGAGAACAATCAATCTACAATTTAGTACCCCCAGAGGCATTGGTTTGTTATGGGGGGATGGAGGACTTTATGACCCGGCAGATTTAAGAACAACCTGTCATTATTTACAACACCAGTCTTCGGCCATCTGGATTCGAGCACCCGTTCTTACAAATGTGAGTCCAGTGCCCTGCCAACCAGGCTATCCCAGCCGATTTACAGTTTTAAAAAATGGAAATGATTGATTGATTGATGATTGAAAAATGGAAATAAAAAAATTACTCCTACAGCAAATCGTAGCGTTTTCCTACCGGAGTTTTTACTTTCAGCTCAAAATACTTTCATAGACTGTAGAAATCATGTAAATTAAAGAAAAGAAAAATAATCGAAAATTTTCAATATTTTTGAAATCCCGCTACGATATTTATACGCCATCAGCCAACAGCATACGTAGTAATTTGTGCATAAATAAATTTGCAAGAGTCTTGCATTTCCAGAGATATGCAATATTTTTTTAAAAATAAGTTGTCCCAGAAAGAGCACCCGTCATCGGAATCTATGTAATATGTTGTATTTTTGTTCCTTACATTTAATAGGTAGGTACATTGCTTACGTCATACTAGAGCTGCACAATGAGCAATTGGCGACAGTCTTGGAGACATCCTTGAAGATGATCTGAAAACATGTCTTAACGAGTTTGATCCTTTGAGCTTTTGTAACCCGACGACTAGCATGCGAAGTCGAGTAGATCCAAATAAACTGCAAAGAGGGGGGAAGCTCTATGATTCAGGGATGTGTCTGGATGTAAAGTAAAGTAAAGTTGGAACAGTTTAACGAGGACCAATACCGCGCATCCTCGTTCCCTAATCAGGCTTATCAAAGTGATCACCACCTACTTACTGACCTCAGCCAGTGATGCTTAACTTCGGCGTCTTACTGGGAATCGAGTCGAAAGTGGCACTCCTTATATTTAATAATAAACTAAAAATTATCATGGTTTTTAGCATTTTTTTAAAAATAAAATTAGTGAGGGAAAAGATTAAAAAATAAATATTACTAGCTTCATTTAAATAATTCAATGATTATAATCAATAATTGAATCCTTATATTTAAAATTTAAATCAAGTCTTCCCTTGTCGTTAATTACGTTTTTAATTAAATGCATTATTTTAGCAAAATTTGTTATTAATTGATATGAAGTTCAGAAGAAAATTAACAAAATATTTAAAGAAAACAAGTTCTTAACTAAGCGATAAATATCTAAATAATACATTTTTAGAAAAATGAAGTATGAATTAAAATAAATCTTCAAAAACGATAGTAATATTTAGGTAACTCTTTTCTAATATTATCTATGAAACAACGTAAGCCTTTGTGAAAAGAAATTTTCTTCTTTACAATCTTTTTATTACAATGTATAATTGCATTAATCTCGGTGTTTACATTCTATTATTTCTTACTTAGCTCAACAATTAAATTATTTCCAATTTAAGAAGTATACATTTATATTCCAAAAATTACGCGATTTAAAAAAGTAATCTTTTTCTCAAGTAGCGAAAAGAGCTTCATAAGGAAAAAAAAAGCTTTAGTGCTTAAACATGTTAGTTTTGTACACATTCTCTTTTTGTCCAAAATTTAATTAGTCGCCTGTTTTCATTAATTAAAAGAATTCACGTGATTAATATCAGGGATCATTTTGTTTGATCTTACAGAAGAGGATTAAGATTTTAATTAAGCGTTATTTAAACGCCTTTAGAAAACTTTTTAATCGCCTGTTCTTCCTAGACTTCATTTTTTTCAGTGCGGAAAATAATCAGACTATAAAAAGCAATCATTCATTTTAAATGTTTTTATCGAAATATTCTGGATTACTTTAAATAAGTAAAGATACTTTTATAATAAAATGAATCAAAAAATAATATTGATTTACGTAAGCCTAACAAATTATTTATGAACGCGATTCTTTAAATTTATATTAAACTCATTTTCTTAATAATTTAATTATTACTAATTTTTTATATGAATGTATCAATGTGTTTTACTAATTTTAGGTTTGAGTCTTTTGAAAAAAAAGGTAATGACTTTCTAAGGATCATTCAACTAGTAAATGAGAGAAGATAACTTAGGTGTTTTTTTTGGTACATATAAGCAATTGTGCTATTTATTAAAAATTTATGAGCCATTTTAGTTTTGAAAACAAATATTCAAAAATGTTCGAATAGTATTATTATGAAGAAAATAAAGATACAAATATCTCGTGCAATCGTATTTTATTCAGCAAAGTACACGTAAATGCTGGGCAATAAATACAGTTACCAGTCAGGTAACCCAGATAGCAAAATAAGATTTATTTTACTCAGCAAAAACCTTTTAATGTAAACGTAAAAAGTTTTGTAATACGGTTTACGTGTAAACCTTCCAACCTTAAAACGAGATCTTTTCCAATCTGCTCTATTCTACACACATTACCCTAATCCAAAACCTTGGAAAACAACATTCTATATGAAGCCTTAAATCGAGGTTGACTTAGGATTTTCAAACGTGAGAAAATCCTTTAATAAAGCTAGTCTCAAGGGGAAAATAATAATGAATCTAGGTAATTATAAGGTTTATTTTCGCAAAACCTTGTATGCTCAGCTAAATTCCACCTTGTCATGAAATTTTAATGGACAATGCAATTTGATCCTATCGCTAGTGTGACGTCAACTGAAACGTCATTATGGACCTAAGTGACAAGCCTTAAAAATGACTTTTAATTCTCTTAAGATGAAAGGTTTGAAACTGGAATATTTTTGCTTTATTGAAAAAAGGTTTTTAGTACAAACATTTTCGCGACAATAAAAAGAAAATTCCGACACAAGGTTGCCGTAAGGTTAAATACTACAGTATTCATTGTTGTTATTCAGTATGTAGGTAACAGTATTTATTGTTGTTATTCTATGTAACAGTATTCATTGTTGTTATTCTATCTAACAGTATTCATTGTTGTTATTCTAGGTAACAGTATTCATTGTTGTTATTCTAGGTAACAGTATTCATTGTTGTTTTTCAGTATGTGGTAATTTGAGCTTATGTTTGAATTCACTGGCCATATACAGGTTGTTCAGCGAATGACTGACCGACTGATTTAAAAATTAAAAATCTCGAATATAATGTGTCATCGAGTGGTCAAACAAACGGTATGTGTTATTTTCTGCAGAAATTTTGAATTTCAGTAACAAATATTACTATCAAATAGTGTCGCAAGCTATCGATGACCAAAGTCATCGAATGTAACGTTAAAAAGTGAGTAACGTATAAAGTAACTTTAAAAAGTGAGAGTAACGTTAGGCTGTAGCACCGGATTAGGTAATTAAACCTTCCTATTAAACAACGCATGGTTCTGGAATTGGGATATCACATATTAGATTAAAGTTCTGCAACATATGTATTCTTTTTAAGAGTTCTGTAAGCGTTATTTTTTGACAACTTTTGTAACAAAATTTCTGTCAAATTTTTTTACAGCTTTCACAATGGACATACGGATTGTTTCATTCCTCCGCTACTGTTTGATCTTAAGAGTTTTAATTTTGAAATCATTAATTCTTCTTTGAAATGAAAACTTTGCTAAATGCGGCTGAGCCATGTTACACAAGGAATGTTAAAGGCTAATTGTCCGTTGCAGCTACCACCCCGAATGCTAGTCCCCTCCAGACTCCAGAGGCATACCTGTAGATACGTCGGATAAACTCCTCAATTTGATGCTTCTGAAACATAACGTGAATAATCACTAGATTAATCTAAGAAGGTGATCTTGGAGTTACATTTTGTTGTGGATTATGACTTAACTTATTATCAAAGTAACTATTAAAAAAAAACGCACGCAATAATCCGTTTGAAATCGATTGTAGAGCTGAACTCAGGCAAACTCTATAAGACAACACAACAAACATTTTATGGCGTTTACTATTCAGAATCATAAAAGAATCAGGAATAACCGATGTTAGCTATTTTAAGAAACGCATTTGGCCTGAACATAAGTTCATTCAGAGGTACCTCCGATAAGTTTAATCCATGCTAGTAATCAAGTACATTCCATTGTCCGAGTCCTTGAAACCAGACCAGACGCATTAGGATATTAACCAATGTTTGACTATTCTAGAGCAAATGCCTGCTTTCCAATATCATGGTACTTCAACATAATTTTTCCTGGATGCCGAACGAAAACCTGTAAAGAGAACTAAAATAACTCAGATAAGCTGGCAAAACGAG